TATATATTTATTTATTCCTTTCTTTCAAGATCCTTATAGAACAATGATACTTTATCTAGTCATTTATGAATCCATTATAGAAAAAAATGTGACAGTGAGCAAAATTTTAAGGGTTTTATCACCAAAAAGAATGCCTTGTTGGTTTACTTACCCAATCTGCTGAAATATGCTTTTTTACCTTTAGGTAGAAAAAACAGCCTGTATTTCATAAAATGTAAACATAGTCCTATATCTGTATATCCTTCAGTTTTACAAATGAAGGTTTTTTTTTTTAATTCTAAACCACAATACAGAAAATAAAAGACACTCACAGGCATTTGTCACAAGATCTCCACGAATTTCAGATTTCCAGTCATCCCATGATGTCTCAAAGCCATCAGCAAAATGGATACAAAAGTTTTTGAAATGTCCTTTGCTAACCAGAGACTCCGAAGAATAAGCAATGATGAGAGTATTTTCAATGGTCAATACCAAAGCAGAACCAGTGTCAAGGTCTCCAGTGTGATTAGACTGCAAAATACAGTAAAAAGCAGAAAAACAAATGGTGTCAATTTTTAAATTTAGAAATTTTCATAGGACTCATGGGAACAAATATCTTAAAGGAGTAAAACTTTGATATCCTTATTATAAAATAGCTTACAAAGATTGTTTGGGTTTTTTTTTTTGGTACCGGGGATTGAACTCAGGTCCTTGTGCCTGTGAGGCAAGCGGCGGAACCACTGAGCTAAATCCCCGGCCCCTACAAAGATAGTTTTTAAAAATTAAATTGCTCAAGTGAAATGCACTTGCCATGTGCATTTTTTCTTAACTTACAAAGAGCTAATTATCTCTTTTTGTATAGTTAGCCTCTGCTTTAGCTGTGGGGGGCACTCTGATTACACATCCACTCCTGGTGTGTAATGGCCTTCTTAGCCCTATCAGCCGTTAAAAACTACCACATTTTAATTCTTGAAACATAAACACATCTGATGTTGTCCATCCTCAAAGTAGTTTTTCTTAACAGGACTTCACCTAAAAAATAAATTCACCTAACTGGTCAGAGGCTGTTTAAGGTAAATTATAACATTATAGATTTCTGTATTTATCATAACAGTTACTTTTTCACCTGAAAGGTGTTCATAGAATTTTCTTGCTCATACACATGTGCATGCAATTCCAGAGAATTCATCCTAAACTATCAAGAAACTATTCTTACTGTATCTAGGTATACTTATAATTTAGAAGTTTCACTGTCACTGTTACAGTATAAAAGCACGTCAGAATTCCTTGTCTCATAATAGATGTAATTATTCAGTAGTATTAAATGTCCCTTTGTTTTCATCTTATAAACAAATCCAATCCAGAGATGATTTTGCAAAAAAATAAAAAGAAAACAAAAAGATTCTGAACACTAAACTTATTTTTTTTATTTTTAAATTTTCTTAGTACATGCTTGCAATACATGCAGTTTATAATCGTTTTGGGGAGTGGGAGTATATCCCACAGCTTGTTTCTTTTTTTAACCCCTTGCCCTCCACCCTCCATCCCTCCTCCTCTGACTCCCCATCCCAATTTCATTTGCATCCATCCAAGCTATCAGGTCCCATACATGGCACATCCTTATCCTGCTTATTTCCCTCTGCCTCCTCCTCCTCACCTCGTCTGTGTGCCCTTGGAGCCCTTGTTATCACCATTAGGAATCATATCAGCACGTCAGAGAAGAGTCACATGTGAGTCAATTATAGATGGATAATCACTGAAGGAGTTCAACCTTACTCTCCATCTACTAAACTCAAGCTATAAACTCTTTTCCCGAAAAGTTTATTGCTATACTTTAAACCCTTAGAAATGCTTAGTAGAAATGTCTGCTTTTAATCCTGGAATAAAAGGAATATGACTTGATTTTTTTACACCTGTGCAGTATTTGTGATAGGGAGGCAAATTCCCAGATCATTCACAGTCAGCTGGTGGAAGAGAGTCCCAAAGGCCTGGGCTGATGTTTGCTGGATACCAGGTAGCATATCTACTACTTCCTTTGTTGACATATGAATATCCTTATGTAAAGCCATTTGTTGTTCATTCCAATTGTCATAGGCAGCCTTATAATTCAGCCAAAATAGCACAGCTTTTGAGAATTAAGGCAGGGTAGAAAGAAAATTAAAACCAATACTGTAAATGGTTTACCATGGTAAGCAAACCTCAATAGCTGCAAAATACTGTTTATTAATAAAAATTACTTCCAGAAAACCATAGCACTACAATTAGATCTATGGGAACACAGTCAACATTTTTCATCAATAAATGAAAAATGAAGCAGAAAACACGTGATGGCACAATGGCAATAGGAAGAAGAAAATCCAGGTTCATTTATTCAATCAGTACTTTTAGAATGCCTATTATATGCTAAGCACTACAAGAGAATAACAAATGAAAACAGACATGGTCCTGGCCTTATTTATAGAGCTTACTATTACCACTTTCACTCCCCAAGATGACTGTAAAATGCATGTACTACAAACATGTACTACTAAAAAAAGAATAATAAGGGAGAGGTACATAATGTTAGGAATATATATTAAAAGAATCTGAGTTACAAAATGAGGCCAAAGACATATGAGTTTCTTAACAAGAAAGAAATCTTAAAGAACATTATCATTTCCTGGCAGCAATAGAAGGAGAAGCCTAAAAAGAAAATAAAAGTGGAAGTTTCAGTGCAGTAGGAGGAAAAGCAAGAACTGTGTCACAGACACCATGAGTAGAAAGTTCTTCTGTAAAAGCATGTTTCAGCAAAACTGCAGGAGAGCTGGGCACAGTGGTCCATTCTTGTACTCCCAGCTACTCAGGAGGCTAAGGCAGGAACATGGTAAATCTGAGACCAGTCTGGGCAATTATTGAGGCCCTATCAAAGAAGAAAAAAGAAAAAGGGCTGAGGATGTAGCTCAGTGACTGAGCACCTGCCTAACATGTGTGGGGGCCTGTGTTCAGCTGCCAGTACTGAATAAAATATAAAAAGGAGCTTGTGAAAGCTGATGAACGTTGGTAAAATGAAAATGAAAATCATGCACAGGAAATAGCAAAATTAAGTATTATCCATAACATTGCTAAAAGAGTAATTTTCTAACAAAAAAATCTTATCATCTAACCATCAGGCTAAGTCTATTATCAATTCAAATTTTTAATTTCTTCAAAAAATGACTTAGTCTTATTTGCTCAATACATATTACTTAGACTACCTGTCCCATCTTTGTGATGGTTAGGGTGGAATGTCAACTTGATTCACTTGGGATTTGCCTGGGGCAATTAGCAAAGCACACTTCTCAGTGTGTCTGGGTGGGACAAAGAGGCATGACCTTGGAGTCTGTCTCTGGTCCCTTGCCCCTTCCTCACTGGTACTCTTGTTCCCTTGCTCTTCTTCTTGGCCACCACAAACTAAGCAGCTTTGCACTGTCATGCCCTTCTCCCATGATGTTTCTGTTTTAGAGCCAGTTGTCCATGGACTGAATCCCTTGAACCTCTGCCAAATTAAACTTCTCTTTTAATTTTCTTTTGGTGGTACTGGACACTGAACCCTGTATCTCACTACCACTGAGCAACATCCTCAGCCCTCAGCATTTTATTTATTTTTTTGAAACAAGGTCTTACTAAGTTGTCTAGGCAGGACTAGAACTTGTTATCCTCCTGCCCCAGGCTCCTTCAGTGCTGGGATTACAGGCACACACCAGTATGCCTGGCTATTTCTCCTCCTTTATACTGTGGGTGTCAGGTGCTGTACTACAGGGGAAAGCCATCTAATACAGTCTTCTGTCCCAGTGTTTTCTATAATGAAAGCTGCTGCTGTATTTTCTTAGATCATCACTGACACACATTCATTCATATTCTCTCTCATTTCACAAATGTTTAGTTAGTTCTTACTGTATGCCCAGGACTGCTCTAGGCACTTAAGATACACAGGTACATAAGAGAAGCTTTCATTTCATTGTCTCTCTGGTGAAGTCCTAACTCAAAATGAAGAATCTGCCCTCTAAAAAGAAAAGGAAATTAAAAGACTCCCTCATGTTCCAGAATATGCATCTCTAACTCCACTTCATATTATACTTTGATCTCTTTTCCCCTGGACTAGGTTCTCTGAGGGTAAGGATTCTGTTGTCCATTTCTATATTCCACTCTAGGCTGTATACAATTAATGGTTATAGGATGAATATATAAACACAGCGCCAAAACACAAGAAAATTAGCCAAACTAAAAACTTCAGTATTAAAATTAAAATTTGGAATCCGACACTCCTATTCATCCATGTAGATAGCAAAATAACTTTTGAATATAAATAACTTATAAAGTGCCTGAGTAGGAAGTTGTTTTGCAATGCTCACATTTTAGGTTTAGGAGACATTTGCCTGTCAAACACATACATTATTAAACTACAAATAATTTTTATTAAGCATTATCAAAGCTTTTCTAAATCCTGGAAAACAGTTATGAATAACTTGATTTTACCTCTGTCAAAGGCCACAGGTTGTGGGTAAACAATTGACCTATTCAAGGTAATAAGCACAGCTTCTCTATGTGAAGAACCACTGATTTCTTCTTGAAGGGCATTCCTTAATCCAATCCTTGTTTTAAAATAGGCAACTTGATGAAAATCAGAACCAGCTTCCTCATAAACCTAGAATGAAATTTAAAGATCAATCAAATAACAGAAAATGTTTTAATTAGAAAAACTAACCATGACTAATTATATTGTTCACCAAAAGAGCTATAGACCATTTTAACTCAGTGAAATTCCTTATATTTTATACCATAAATGCTTGAAATGAATACACCATGTGAAGCTAGATAAGAGTTAAATACGGCACTGGGAATGTAGCTCAGTGGAGAACACCTGCCTCAACTTGTATGAAGCTCTAGGTTCAATCCCCAGAATTCCAATAAACAAACAAGAGGTGAATATAAAATTATAAAGTTCATACAAAAGCTAGGATGAGGTTCCTATTCTGAATGGCAATGTATTACATGTGTCAAAACAATTCAATCCTCTCTCCTCTCAAAACATGCTTCCATTTGAAAAAATAACATTTTTTTAGAGAAAACAAGAAATTTTTGTTCATTTTTTTCTATACATAATCTTTAATGTACCCATTTAATTTTTAAAGTGTAACTGGCATTTTAAACATTGGTTCTTCAAATAAAAGAGTCAAAAAAGCTAAAATTTACAGATTTTTAGCAAAAAAAAAACTGAAAGAAAAAATAAATTTAAAAATTCCCAATAAACAATTGAATTCAATTTTATAAAATAGAGAATCTCATTAACTGATATATTTTACATATTTCATATTATCATATGTAACACTTGCAAATATTTTATAG